AAAAAAAAAAAAAGAGCAAAGGAAAATGCATTGTTTGTTTCTCTAAACCAAATATGTACTGTAATCTAAATCCAAACTGTAATCTCCCGTTCACTTCGCTGATTCGAGTTTATAATTCGAGTTGAGATGTGATTTTGTATGAGAGCTTTTTACTGTAGTAAAAAAGTTAGATGTGACTGTTTCTGAGAGTTTTTTACTGTAGTAAAACTCAAATTTTAAACTCGAATCGGCGAAATGAACGGGGTCTAAATCCAAAAGAAACGTATTTGTTGTCGCATGCTACAAGACATAGCGTTTGACTGACAACAACATGATAATTATGAACTTGGGGGTAAAAATTAGGAATTAGAAAAATAGATATGGGCTTTTGTTTTATTTTGATTAAGAAAAAAAAAAGAAAAAAGAGAAAAATAGGCTAAGATTTTAGATGAATTAAAATTAATAGGCCAATAATTTACATACGTTAATAAATAGGCTAAATTATTTTCGTCAATAACTTGTCTGGTTATAAATCATAACTTACCAAGTTATTGTCTATAATTGTCCATAACTTATCTAACCATAACTTGACAAGTTTATCCATAACTTATCTAGTTATGAACCATAACTTGACAAGTTATGACATATTAATTTTTATAATTAAAAATTAACTTATATATTTTCTTAAACTTTTTATATTGACATATTTTCTATTATTTCTAAAAAAAAAAAATTGCGTTGGGTCAGGTGAACAGTACCGCGTGGGCTAGAAACTCCATTTTAGAGTTGCAAAATGGCGCAGGGTTGGAAAAGCCCATGCGCCAGATACCTCCTCCAACCAAATAGTAGGGTGGTCATTTAAGGCTTAATTTAGTTTACTTAAAACGGAGATTCAGAATCATAATTTAAAATTTTTTTTATTTATATATATTTTTTATAAGAAAAAATATTATAATAAATTATAAATTATAATTTAAATTATAATATGAATTATTAAACTAAACGTATTAAATTGAGATGTGATTTATATGAGAGTTTAAAATTTATAAAATTAAAATTAAAAATTAAAATTGATATTTTATAAGAAAAAATATTATAATAAATTATAAATTATAATTTAAATTATAATATGAATTATTAAACTAAACGTATTAAATTGAGATGTGATTTATATGAGAGTTTAAAATTTATAAAATTAAAATTAAAAATTAAAATTGATAAAAGAAACTAAGCTTAAATCTACAGCTAAATGACATCGTCTTAAATTTGAACCATATATAACCTGAAAAAACAGACCAATACTACTACTCCAACAAAACCACTAGCCATTTCTTCTATTTGTCTGGACCGACGAGCTTAAATTCTTGGTACGTTCTTCTTGTTCTTCTTCTTCTTCTTCTCGTCTTCATTTCTCATTTTCCTTATTCAGGTTCCTTTGATTTCGGAAATCTCATTTGATTCACCAGATACTATACTAATTTCCCAAAGCCCTAATTTCAATGGCGACCAAATCCCACAACTCTTCCACTTTATGTCAAATCTAGAATCTAAACCCAAGAAAGATTATAGTTAATCACTGATTTCTTATTTTATTAGCGAATTTCCGACGACAATTTGATCTCATTTTAGCTCCCCATTCATTAGCTTGAATTTCTAGGGTTTTCAGACCTCAGTAGCTACAGAGAATTTAAGGGTTTTTCAGTGGGGCCCTGATGTTAGGTGGGTTGTACGGGGACCTCCCTCCGCCCTCCTCGGCCGATGAAGAAAAGCCGAGCAACTCCACTGTTTGGTCGACCAGCACGAAAATGGCGCCGCCCACCCTCCGTAAACCCGCTTCGGTTTTCGCCCCGCCGCAGATGATACTGAAGACGCAGAACAAGCAGAAACCAGGGAATTCGGCGCAGCTGAAAGCTGTGGCGTCACCCGCGGTTGCTCTGCTGCCTACGGTGGTGCCGGAGCCCGTCGCTCAGCCTGCTTTGGTGGGCGTTACGTCCACGGTCCTTGAAGAGTATGATCCGGCGAGGCCGAATGATTACGAGGATTATAGGAGGGAGAAGAAGAGGAAATTGATGGAAGTCGAGATGAGGAAGGAGCTCGAAAGAAGGCGGCAGGAGGAGGAGGAGAGGGAGAGGAGGGAGAAACAAGAGAGGGAAAGACAGAGGGAGAGGGATTATGGTGATGATTCGCGGTTGAACATTTCCGGCGAGGAAGCGTGGAGAAGGCGCGCTGCAATGAGTGGGGCACTGCCGAGATCACCATCTCCGCCGAGTAGTGGAGACGGGTTTATCATCGGAAAGTCGGAGACGGGTGGGTTGGGTGTTGGTGCTGGTGGACATATGACTGCAGCACAAAGAATGATGGCGAAAATGGGGTGGAAAGAGGGCCAAGGACTTGGCAAGCAGGAGCAGGGAATTACTACTCCTTTGATGGCCAAGAAAACCGATCGCCGAGCCGGGGTGATTGTCAATGCTAGTGAAGCCAAGCCGGAGAAGAAAGTGAAGAGCGTGAATTTGAATGGGCCACCCACTCGGGTTCTGCTGCTTAGAAATATGGTATGTCTTTTCTTAACTCTATGATAATGGTGCTTTTTTACTTCTTAAGACTCTGAAGTGGGATTACATATGATTTTGAACTTCAAAATTGCTAACACAAAATTTTGGTAATATTTGGTTTAGGCAATGTCAATTGCTACTAAGTCATACATATTCTTTAGTCTTCACTTTTAAGAAGGATGCTGTTATATGTATGATTTTTGTGATAGTATTATCTCTATGCTACTAAAGTTAACTTCAATATAAGGAACTTTGTGAAAAGAATCTAAGAAAATTGAGATGGTTTAATTGTTTCGTATTTTCAGTTCTTTCAATTTCTTACACATCAATTTAACAGACACGAATTGCATAGGGTCAGGAATTTTCATTTATCTTAGATCTTAGATTTTGGGATTTGACATAACCCAGTGAGGTTACTGTCCTTACGGGAAAATTTTGAAGGGCAAAAGGGCAAGAGCAATCTCAGATGGAGAAATCATTGAGATGACACCAAGATAGCTTGGTGTATCAAACTACTACATTTCTTCTAAGGTGCATCCTTGTCTTGGTGCTAGATTGTTGAAATACACGAAGTAGGGCAAGAGTCGAACTTTCATTTGGACGCTACGTATAATTTTTTAAAGTTAAAAGTTCTATGTTAATAAACCCATATTTTCTAGGTAAACTAGTGTGCTACAAGTACATATTTGTCGAAATGACATAATCAGAGAGGCCGGTGTTGTTAAAAGTACAGAACTGTAATGCTGAAAGGACATAACTAGAGAGCCGATATCATTAAAAGTACAGAAATATAATGCTGGAAATATCACCTGAACAATCTTAAGCCTATGATTTGAATATTCTTATGAATTAGCACTGGCACGGTAACGTTCTGTTGATAACAGATTACATTTCGTAAATGACGTGATTTCAAGTGATCTTACATGTCCAAGTTTATGCATACAAAGTAACTTGGGTAGTATTCAACATTTTTTCTGCTTTGAGGTTTATCATTATTATTTCTTCTTGAGTTGTTTATGTTCTCTTCATGCTTCTATGAGCTTCTTCTATGCTAATGTGAAAATGAGAATCTCGAACTTTCTGCTTCCTGAAGGTGGGACCCGGTGAAGTAGACGATGAGCTTGAAGATGAAGTAGGATCAGAGTGTGCCAAATATGGGACGGTGACTCGGGTTCTCATATTTGAGATAACAGAACCAAATTTTCCAGTTGATGAAGCAGTAAGAATCTTCGTGCAGTTTGAGAGATCTGAAGAAACGACAAAGGCACTGATCGACCTTGATGGCCGGTTCTTTGGGGGTAGAGTAGTCCGCGCCACATTCTATGATGAGGAGAGGTTCAGCAAGAATGAATTGGCTCCAATGCCCGGAGAAGTCCCCGGTTTCTTTTGAGTCCGATTAGAAGTTTCAAATGTACGGCAATTCTCTCAATTTTGAAGACAAAGGACTTGGGTTCCTAATTGATTATGTGACGGAAAAGAAATGTTGTAAGCATCATCTGCTTAGACTGAGCTTTATTTCTGGAAATCGGGTCTAGGTTTTTTTGTCAACTGGTATTGGAATGGAGAGATTGTCACCATGAGAAACAGGTGGGTGCATTTTATCAGGAATTTGTAATTCCATTGTGAGAGGAAATAATGCTCAATGGCACAAGTTTTGACTTTCGGTTTAGCACCAACACTGATGTATTGGATGCCCCTAGAAATTGTTGTTTAAGATTGTGCTGCTTTTAATAGAGAGACAATGAGAGAAGTAAAAAGAGAGCAGAAATTTGGATGCAACAATGGGCCGGGGCTGTGGGCTGGCCCGGGCCCATCCTGACACAGTGATGGGCCGGGCTAGCACGGCCCTGTACTGTTCAAGGCACGGCCCAGCCCATAAATATTGGTGGGCTGGGATGGGCCAACATATATCGGCCCATGGGCCGGCCCATGAAAATCATGGGTCAGGCCTGGCTAGGCCGGCCCGTCTAGGCCCATAATGGGCTGACCCAGCCCGGCCCATAACGGGCTGACCCAACTCGGCCCATAACGGGCTGGCCCATCTAAGTCCATAATATCTTCATGTTTTTTTTTTCTTTTTTTTAGAAATTTTGTAAACATCTTATGTATAATTACCTTGATTGTATTACTTTTTTCTTATTAAGGTTTTGTTCCACTGGGTTTTTCTTAGAATGCTTTTTATTTAATGAGGTAATTGTAAATAAAATATCTCTTTTCATATTTTAATGGACTATTCAAACTTATATATTTATTAACTTGTTTAAAAATTTAAAAATTAAAAATTAAAAAAATTAAAAATTATATGTTTAGAGGGGCTGACCCATCTAAACTCATAATGGGTCAAGATGGATCTTGAGTGGGCCAGTCCATTTAAGGCCCATGGCACGACTCATTTTAGCCCACGGCACGGCCTAACCTGACTTACGTAAAATTAGGTCGTGGTGTGAGCTGAACTGATGTCATTTTTATATGAGTTGACCCGGCCTACGTGAGCCTAAGGAGAATGAGCCGGGCCGATCCGTTCTTGTATCTCTACTTTGTATTGACACATTGATGGAATTATTACTGTTTGTGTCAATAAATAATTTAAAGACAAACAACAAAATACTTGGCCTAATTGGAGCCAATACAATTGAGAATTTAGAGATTAAAAACAAAATGAAAAAGAAAAATCAATTGCAACAAAGTAAATATTATATAAGTGGGGCTTTTTTAGTAGGCCTCTTTATTATTAGAGTTTGATTTTTTACTGTTCAATTCGATTAAAATCAAATTAAATTAAAAAAAATATGCATGATTATTAATAAAATTTTAATAATTAAAAAATAAAAAATTATTAATAGTTAAAAAATAAAAAACAACTGATAATATATTTCTTCTGATCGTAAAAAAAAACTCCCATTTACTTAAATAACAAGGTTCTAAAATTTGTTAAATAACTCTTAGTTGTTAAATGTATACCGCAGTATCAATATAAATATTCTGGTACATCTAAATACTATTCCTGCTTTTTTTAGTAACAATTTCAATGTTTCTATCCAATGAAAGCTAAAATAAAATGGCGAAACGACCGACCGGAATTCAAAATTACGCGCGGCGCAGAGGCGAGCCGACCGGCGTGTTCTGGTTGGAAGCCCTAGCCTCCTGCAAGTGCTGCTGCTGAAACGCCACCGGCGACGGCCCTCCGCCATTGAAGACGACGGAAGAGTACTGTTGGAGCCCGCCGGGAAATCCACCACCGTACATATTGTAAAGCGCCGCCATCGGGATGTCGCCGTCGACTGAGGAAGTTCCGCCAGCGACATTGCAGAGCGAGGAAGCAGGCACAGCGATCGCCGGATCTCCGACGGTGAAACGCCGCGGAGACGCCGTCGTCGAACACTCTCCTCCTCCGCCACCGGCGACGACGACGGTGCTGCTCGGCGTCGGCGTCGCACTCGATCGCGTCTCGCCGCACGTCGGACAGCAATTCCCGACCTAATTCGAAACGTAGCCGGCTGTTTGGTTAGCGAGAAAGGAAAAGAAAATGAGAGGAAGAGAGAGAGAGTCAAAGAGAAGTTACGTTAGAGCGAAAGGTGGTGCCGTCGGGGAGGACAGTCCAGCCGGCCTCGGCGGCTAGGTAACGGAGGACCTCGTTGATGTCGGCGCGGGGTGAGAGGCGGTAACCGCCGTGTTTCCTCAATCCATGGAAGATCTTTCCAGTTATGGCTCTTCTCTGTCTCTCTCTCATCTTCGTCTTCTCCTTCTCACTCTCGCTCCTCCCTCCCAAAGACGACGTCGTTCCGTTCGCCGCCATTGCCGTTCCCTTCATCCTTATTCCCTCTCTCTTCTGCAGCTCAATTAATTAGTCCGACTGATTTATTATAGTATAACGGCACAGCGTCTGACTTTTGATTAATTGGAGGTATGATTTCGATCGAACTGCGGAGATGATGGGTTGTAAGGAAGGTTGTTGTGAGGGTGGCAGTAGGGGATTTAGGGGTGTTAGTCTTGGTTTTGCATGAGAGAGAGAAGGTGAGAGTGAGAATTGCATGTTTTGCAACAGATTGGGAAATGGGAAGAGAGAGAGAGAGTTTGACAGTCACGCGCTGCGCCTGCGTGTAAGGGAACTAGTGCGAATGTTTTTATGCTTGGGTTTGGCCGCTCAAACGACAGATCGTATAAGACTTCCGTAACTGCAAATTAAGGCAGTTCATTTCACCGATTTGAGTTTAGAATTAAGAAAATGTTTAGTTCATGGATTAGAATCATAAGATTAGAATCATTTTTTATTTATGTGTATTTTTATGAGAGAAAATACTATAACGAATTATGAATCATGATTCGAACCGGGGGACGAATCCCTCAACCAAACAACCTTTAAAAGTTTTTAAAAACGGTTACATTTAAATTTTTTATTATAATAAAAAACTCTTATATAAAATCACATCTCAACTCGAATCAACAAACTAAACGAGTCATACATTTTTTTTTAAATTAATGAAAATAATGAACTGCACTTGATCCGAACCCCAACTATCACATAAGTAAATACTACAGTTCCTACAAGAAAATTTAGATTTAACTTCAAATCACTTTTGTAGCTATATGTTAAAATTTTGTCGCTAAAACTACAATTTCTTGTAGTGAGTAATTACCACAATAAAGAAATAGCTTATTGAGGGGGGGATAATTTTAAATTAATAGCAAAATTAGAAAACAATTTAAGCCTCGTTCGCTTCGCGAATTTGAATTTTCAATTCGAACTGAGATATAATAAACATTTTCTAAGAGCTTTTAACTGTAGTATAAAAAGTTAGATGTGACATTTTTTGATAGTTTTTAACTGTAGAAACTTAGAACTGAAAACTCGAATCGGTAAAATAAACGAGACCTTAATAAATATTAAAAAAGATAAAAAAAATTACAGATTCCTCTCTTTCCTCCACCAGGACCATCACTCACTCTTGCTCTCTTCTCTCCCCCTCTTACTATTGTGCTCTTTCTGTCTCCTCAATCTCAATCTCTCTAGCCATTGCGCGATCCTTATAGACATTGGTGATCAATTATTTGTCCATCGCGTAATAAATTAAAAGTTTACAGAAATAGTTCTACCACGTGAAATATATTCTCTTCAATAATATTAAAACCCATTGAAAAACAAGAACATTTTAAATTTACTATAGATATTATTGTAAAATTTTTATGTTGTAATGGGATAGAAATATGATTATTTATGTTAAATTTCAGAAATTGCTCGTCAATTATTATGTAAGAGACTAAAATTGTCAAAAAAATAAAAATAAAAATTCATAGATTAATTTATCAAAATTTAAAATTAATTTCTTTTTTCATTTTATATAATTCGTTTGATACGTCTCACTTTTAATTAGCATAAGGATTATTTTACCCTTAAAATAAAAAAATAAAATTAAAAGAAAATAATATGGTTGCCATTTCCACACAGACGGTCCTTTCTCACCAGCGACATAGGTGTGGACGACGCAATATAGTTCGAATAACGAGGTCTAGTTGCGGTGAACTGGTTCACGTTGTTGAAATCTGATGCAGCCAAAAAAGAAACTCCGGTAGTTGTATCATAACACCAAATCTCCCATTTTAATTTCAAATTTAGAGTAGGATAAGATTCTTTAGATTGAATTATATGGATAAGACCCTTTAATTTGAATTCTAATTTTAGATTGAGCAAGATTTTTTTTAATTTCAATTTTAAAATTCTCTATTTAAAAACGATTAGTTGTATCTTAAAAAATATTAAAAAAGATTAATTGTACTTTTATTTTTTGGAGTTGATTGATTAATAAAATTTTAGAGATTATTATCTCCTTTAGTTTGTTTTACGGTATTTTTTTGAATCAAAAAATTACTCGCACACTCATTTTCAATATTCTCTGTGGATCTTGAGTTTTAATTTAACGCTTCCGTTACATTAATAAGAGCTTGTTCTTTTGAAGTAAAATTTAAAAAAAGTTTAAACTCAAATTCTAATTTTATTCAAGTTCATGTTCCTTTATAAAATTTGAGTTTGAACTTGACTTTTAACTTGAGAGTTTGGGGTTAAAATCTGAGTTCAAGTTTTCCCTTCAACTCAAGTTTTTAAACTCAAACTTGTTAATGAACAATATTTTTCCTATTCTTAAAAACATCATAACTTTTTTGTTTTAATTCCGATTGAGATGATCTTTTTTCTATGCGTTCACAACGAAGAGAAGAATAAAACCCCACCCATATATCCTATTAAAATTTTTCATCACCATTGAGTTTTTATTAAAATACTATTTAAATACAAATTCAAGTTTTGACCAACTCAAACACAAACTCAAATAAATTCTCAATTCAAGTCATAACTCAAATGTGCACGTCCAAACACAAATTTAAATTACAACTTCAACTCAAATTTAACTCAAAATTTACACTCAAGTCACCATAACTTAAAAATGCAACCGAACAAGCCGTAAAATCTCAGACTACGATGGTGATGGTGATGGAGCACATCGACAAGATGCCGATGATGCAGGGCTTGAACGATGAATGCCCGGTGATGAAAGATGAAGTTTGCCGGCTGTTGCAAGAGAGAGAGAAGAAGTGGTACTTTTGCATTTTGATTCTATGGATATAACTCACACCATAAATGCATGGACCAATGAACTGTTTCGAACTAATGGATAGAGACCTTGGGATAGCACAACACAGCGACAACGTGGTTGTACCTAATTAATTGGGGTGTGCCAAACACGACAAGCAGCTCCCAGCAATATTGAGGAGTAACCTTTTATTTTTTGTTGCATATATCCCATGGTGTATTTGTATACTTCGCAATAAAAATAATGAGAAAACAAAGTACTTGAGAAAGGCCAAACACTCAACATAATTTCTGAAAAAGCTAATATAATAAAAGAAAGAAATACAATTAATGTCACTTCTAATATTATGAATCCTCATCAGGATTGAATTCATTGTTGTTGAATTTAAACCAATTTCTTGCCTTGCAAAACTTCATGAAGAAATACCATCCAATCCCAGCAGCAGTCATAACCCCACTAATCAAGAACACAATCTTGGTAGCTATGGCCATGACAAAAATCAAAAACCCAGATGGAATCAAGCACATTATGACTATTCCCGGCAATCTCATTGGAACCTTATATGGTCTCTTCAAGGCAGGCATTTTTCTCCTTAGCCAAATAAACGAAGCAAATTCCAACAACATTCCCAAACTGTACAAGAAATTTGCTGACGAAATAATGACCGTGAAATCTAGGTAAGAAACAGCAAGAACGATTCCGGTGGACAATAAAATACCTGCAAATGGAGTGTTGAATTTCTTTGAGCGAAGACCGAAGATTTTAGGCAAAAAACCTAGATCAGCCATGCCGAGAATTTGGTACGCAGAACTGCTTAGTTGAGCTTCGAAGAGTCCGATTGCGGACAACACCGCGCCGATTTCTAACCAAACTTTCAGCCACTTCCCGGCGATGATTTGCGCCGCCTCGGCATGGAATCCGGTCTCCCACAGGCTCTGATCCACCGAAACCGACCCGACGACGGCGAAAAGTGGTAACAAATATGATAAACAAGTGAATATGACGGCGACTAAGAGAGCGAGAGGGAATGTCTTGTGAGGCTGGTCAACTTCCCCAGCCAAAGTGGAAACATTGTCCCAAAAATTCAAGTTCCAAAACAAAGTGTTGAAGTACAAATTCCAATTCTTCTTCACTCCCTTCTGCCCCAAGCTAATCCATCGATGGGGACGAATCTTCGGAATCGAAATCAACGACATAAGAATAAACGGCGAGAGCGAAACGAGAGCTAAAGCCACGGCAACGTAGCCGACTATGGTTAAACCGAAGTAGTTAAGGATGGCAAGGATGCAGATCATGGCGAAAATAGCGACATAACGAGGCCAACCGGAGTCGAAAACCGGGAAGATCTTCTCAAGATAGTCGACGCAGAGGATCGGAAAGGCTGCAATGTTGATCACCACGCTGAGGAACTTCCAGGTTCCCATGAGGGAGCCCCAGAAGGGTCCGAAGGCTCGCTCGGCCCAGATGACAAAGCCGCCATTGCCGGGGAAGGCGGTGGAGAGCTCCGCGGTGACTAGGGCTTCCGGAATGCTCCAAATGAAGGGGAAGAGGAGGAAGCCGAGGAGGGCGAGGAGGGGTCCGGCGGCTTGCACCGCGGGCTCCTCACCATAAGGGCCACCGGCAACCTCGAAGTAGATGAGGAAGATGAGGGGTAGAAGTGTTAGCTTTTTGGAATTTGAGGGTGTGGTTTTGGTTGTTATGGGCAATTGATCTTTTGGTAAAGGATTTCGGTCATGATCACTAGGGTTAGGGTTAGGGTTAGGATTAGGGTTTGGTTGAAGATCTTGAGTACTAGGGCTGTTAGGTTGAACCTCCATAATTGTTTTGAGGATTAATATGAAAATAACGTGAGATTAATATTTGCATTTATATGCATAAAAAAAAGTGTTTTGATTTTTGAATTGTGATGGGATTCATGTTGGATATATCATATATCATAGATATATCATAATAATAAATCGCGGATGTTGGAGATATCATATAACATTTATAATAAATCTCGGTCAACTAGGTTTATAGATGTTGCAATTTATTATGAAACCACGAATACGTTATGTTTGCTGTTATTAGTATCATTATTATATTTTTGGATTGGAGTTTCTTATAATTATCGATTTATGATAGGAAGATTCTGCATTAAATAATTTCCAAAATTTTCAACCTCGTTACGAAATTCTCGTTGGCATTAAATAGTATTTTGAAAATTAAAGAGAGAACTGAGGTATTTTTATTTATTTTTTATTCCCTTTGAGGATTAAGAACTCTTTTTTTTTTCTGCTTTTTTTTTTTTTTTGGAGCTTTTTACTTCTGCATTAGTGGATAACGGAGAACAAGTTCGACCAATCATTTACTGATCACTCAAAATGCCCAAACAGAAATCGTCGTTTGCTCTTATACTTTTTTCTCTCCCTCCCCGAAAAAACTGAACTTGATCCTCTATCCATCTTGCATGGTATATCTCTTCTTAAAGAAAATAATAATGATAAGGATTTTGCTTTTTGTTATTCTGCTTTTTTGACTTCTCCGTTTATTTTATTATTATTACTCTTTTTTAACTTCTGCATCAGTGGATAATGGATATACCTTTTAAAAAAAATTTGTCTTATTTTTTTTTTTTTTTAAAAAGATGTCTTATTTTTTAAAAAAGTTTATGTTTTATTCCTGCTTTTCGTGAATAAACATATATCTTGATTCATTAAAAAAACATGAAAAAATTAAGCTACAAAATAGAAAAAAAAAAATCCTACCAATGGGACAATCTCCCTCTCAAGTGGCAAACATCGTGAGAGTTTGAAAACGAGGATGTTTGATTCATGAATTTAGAATCATAATTTAAAATTATTTTTAATTTATGTGTATTTTTTGTGAGAAAAAAATATTATAGCGAGTCACGAATCATGATACCGATCCTTACTCGAAACGCGATGAGAAAAGTAGAAAAGATTAGGGCTAACAAAACAACAGAATTTCGTTCCTTCCATTTTGGGGCGCTGGACCTTTTGGAATTCCAATAATAGGAGAGGGACAGACAAAGAAGAATTATATAATGGGAAATAGTAAGAAATAGGCCAATATGAAAAGCTTAAGAAAGTATATAGGTTAATTTTTAGTTATTGAAATTAATAGGTCATAACTTGTCAAGTTATGGTTCATAACCAGATAAGTTATGGACAAACTTGTCAAGTTATGGTTCATAACCATACAAGTTATGGACAATAACTTGTCAAGTTATGGTTCATAACCAGACAAATTATAGACGAAAACAATAATTTGACCTATTTATTAACTTATGTAAACTATTGACTTATTAATTTTAATTCATCTCAAGTCTTAACATATTTTCCTCTTTCTCTCTTATATAATTTTGAAAAAAAAGGAAGAATTTTCTCACACAGGTGCCATGAGCCCGCTGGGAGCCCAAATAGGTGCGCAAAACTAAATGGAAGGGTTAAGAGGGGCACATTCCCTAATTTTCTCTAAATTTTTGGGAGCTTTGTACAAAGACCACGACCATAATCTTTGAATTTTACCATAAAAAAACTTTAACAAAAATATTTTACCTAAACATTTCAAATACCACAAATGTTCCCGCTAGTTTCGCACCTACATACCATCAATAGATAGCTCCTCGGTCACAGAAAGTATCCAACCTAAATCTACCATGATACTAGAAATTTCGACACCGATCAGCGAAGCTACATTGGGCCCACAAAAAAAAATTTATGTTATTATTTTTCTTACCATTTGCCCCTCCTAAAAGCTTCAAAACTGCAATACTAAGATAGAATTTTCAAAAAGATTTCAGTGATGCCCCAATATATACTCATTTTCAATCTTAAAACCTCAAATAGACCAAAAATCAATTACAATACTATGTACACTTATATTTTATGGACTTTAATTTAAAAAGTGGATCAAATTCTATTACAAGCTAACGCAACGGAATGGATAAAACGTGATTTTATCAGCCGAATCTAGACGGAAAACAGGACATTGAATCCCTAATCTACCTAAAAGAAACCCCACAAGTGGAAAATCCTCAATTAGAGAGGAAATTCAAGTCTAATTTAATTATCAAACAATTCAAGTCCCCTAATAGAATAGCTTAAGTGGCTATTTATAGTCCACTTACAAAACGATAACAAAATAATAGCTAAGATAAATGACATAATAATAACAAAACTTAGCTAAATTCTTAAACTACGACAAAAGACAATAAAATTAAAGTCCGTGTTCTTTTAAATTCAAAAAAAAATTTAAATTCAAATTACAACTTTATTTAAGTTCGTGTTCTTTTATAGTTTGGGGCTATAAAAGTACAAGTTCCCCCTTCAACTCAAGTTGATGAACAATATTTTTTATATTCTTAAAAACGCCATAATTTTTTCATTTTAATTTCGATTGAGATGATTTTTTTTATATACGTTCACAACAAAGACACGAATAAAACTCTACACATATATCCTATTTAAATTTTTCATCACCATTGAGTTTTTAGTAAAATACTTTCTTAATACAAATTCAAGTTTTAACCCATCCAAACACAAAGTCAATAGATTTTCAATTCAAACCATAGCTCAAAATGTGCACATCTAACACAAACTCAAATTAGAGTCTCAACTCAAATCAGATTCAAATACACCTTAACTTAAATCAAGATATGAACTCAAATCACCTTAACTCAAAAAAAATGTACATGAACAAGCCCATTGTCTTTTGGTCTCATTAATCTCAGTTCGGCTATTTTCCTTGCTGGACTCACGTGCTTGATGTGGGCCAATTGATTGTTGGGCTACGGTAGCTTTGTTGGGCCTGTCACAAGTTTGAGTGAGCTTTGCACATTGTGGTGAGGAAGAACTCGAACGGCCGCGACAGCAACAGTCTTCTCCTCGGCTGCCATGGACGCTGCAATTACCGAACTCGTTCCGGAGCTGATCGGATTCTGACCTGGACGGCGGCGGAAGTTCCGCCTGAGGCAGCAACGACGTTGTCTTGTTGCGGATTTTCACCGCCATCTTGGTGCTTTTGTCGTCCTGTAACAGTTCACCGTCGGCATCTATTGGCGCAGGTAATGGGTAACGCCGCACCGCAACTGGACGACCTCGCCGAACCACTTCGGATATCCATCGGTTTTGAGTGAAGTCTCCATCGTCAAGATATTGTGACACAGGTCGCACTCGGGAACTATCGACTTCTAACGACGGATCTCGGATCCTATCGCGGAGCACTCCTTGGTGTTGACCGGCATCAAACCTCTCCCGTCGCCGTTCGAAAGCACGTTTCGGTTCTTGAACCTCCACATTCCCCGGGTCCACATTCCCCGGGTCTGGACAGAAATGAGCCCGATGTTGAGATGGGTTCTCTTTATCGGCGGATTTAGGCGAAGGGGATGACAGAAAAGACCGGTGATCTCTGGGTTTCTTGAATGTCTCTTGCCGAGGTTGTAGGTCTCATCGAGATCCCACGCTTCTTCTTAATATATCTCTCAATTACAATATCACGTAATTATTTGGACTAAAATACAAGAAGAATACGCTGCAGCGAAATATGCACCAATCTTGGGGCATGGACGCGCAGCAGCGCACAGACGCGCTGCAGTGCACGGGCATTGGGCGCGCTGCAGCGCCTGTTATAAGTGCATCATCCCATGAAAAGAGAACTTCATATTGGAAAAAATATCTTTATGTGAAATGTTGTAACGTTTAAAGAGGATGCATGCATCTCTGTCTTTAATAAATGCTCTAAAAAATATATATATATATATATAATTTTTATTTTGGAACTCAATATTTTTACTGGATATTGTGTTCAAGGGTTTGATGTATCTTGTGAGTAATTTACCATTAAAACTCATTAGCAAACTTTGAAAAATGATGGCAAATAAAATCTTAATGGATAGTATTCCTATACGCCTCAAACACTCTTCTTGTTTTCTATATTCTTTTCATCCTCCCAAATCTGAATTTTCCAACAATCTTTAAGGTTTTAAATTTGCTGTAATGGAGGTTGAAAAGAACATGACGTCTTTTCTCAATCCGAATGTCCAACTTGATCGTTTTGATGGTACCAATTTCACCCGCTGAAAGGGAAAGTTGTTCTTCATTCTCACCGTGCTTAAAATCGCCTACGTGCTTGATCCGAAATTGGAGCCACTTTCTGAACCGAAGGAGGATGATTCTGAAGAATTGAAGACGGCAAGGAAGAAGCGTGACGATGATGAAGTCATGTGCCGGGGTCATATTCTCAACACTCTCTCCGATAGGCTCTACGATCTTTACAACTCGATGGAGTCTCCGGTGGAGATTTGGAACGCTCTCGAATACAAGTACAAAACTGAGAAGGAAGGTACGGACAAATTTCTCATCTTGAAATTTCTTGAATTTGTCACAGTTGATACCAAGTCCGTTCTAGATCAAATAAATGAATTGCAAGTCATTGTTACTAAGCTTCGTGAATTGAAAGTTGAAATTTCTGAATCATTCCAAGTGGGGCAATTATTGCTAAATTGCCTCAAAGTTGGAATGATTATAGAAAGAAACTCCTTCATAGGAGAGATGACATAACTTTGGAGGAATTACGAAAACACTTGAGAATCGAAGAATAGACTAAGTCTCGTGATTCAAAGAGCAAGATTATAGATTCCTCTAAAGTTAATGTAGCCGAAGCTAGTAAGTTTTCAAAGAATTTCAAAGTCAATAATGATAAGAAGTTCAAACAGCCCGGTAATGGCCAAAAAAAAATTTCTGGAAATTGTTTCTTTTGTGGAAAGAAAGGCCATCGGCAAAATGGCTGTAGATACAAGAAGAAAAAGGAAGAA